TAATGTCTCAGAGATCAAATTATATTTCAACAAAATAATGTTTCTGGAATGCTTATCTTATCTGTTTCTAACTACAGAAACAATTTCAGAACAATCCGAGATGGTGGGTGTTATGGCTTACTGAAATGACATGGAACGACCCAGTAGGAGATTGAACGATTTTGAAAATGATTGGAAAAATGGACAAATAAATATCCCACTGTTGTGGTGTATTCTACTTTACTTTCTCTATCTATTTTCCATTGCTAACCCATAGCTCAAGTTTACTTATTCATAATGTATCGAAAATTCAAATGAACAGCTAGACGGTTGTTAAATGTGGGTGGGATATGAATGTTATCTAATGATCCACGTTTTTTCTCAAGTTTATCATGTATAAAGTCAACCAAAGCTACTCTTTAAACCACCTCAGAACGGTAAAGGAGGGACATGGTGATATCCTCATTGTCTTACGTCAGATGGCGTCATTCTAACGCGACGCACAATTGCCAGGAGCATCCCGCTGGGCTCACACTGGCTGAATCAACGTTGTTTCCATATCATTTCAATGAAATTACGTTGAATCAACTTAGATTAGACGTTGAATCGATTTCTGTGCCCAGTCGGATCTGTCTAACAGATATCCCGAGACAGGACAGGCCATGTAGGTCTTTGGAGTGGGCATCCCAGATGGCATGTTTTTCAGAGGTTTTAGTTTTTTCAGACAGATACGGTGCATCAGTGATAAGGGTCAGATTATCGAGATTTATGCATTTCAATCCCATACGGCATCTTAAAATAGCCTCTGACAGGGATAGAATGAAGGGGGGGGGGGGGGCATGAACTAATCGCTGATTCCCAGCCACAGCCAGGGACACTTGGGTGTCTGCCTGGGGTTGGAGGGGGTGACGGTAGGGGATGGAAGGTCAAACTTCGATGGGCACCATTGAGTCTGGCTCTACCACACCAGTTAGTCCAGTTAGCATTGCGTGTCACCGTTAGCCATTTGATGATGTCATGGCAACTGGGGTTGTTCGAGAGAGAGTCTGCTGGGCTGTCGTGATAGTGCTACAAAGGGATTTGATATTTTCTGTGTTTTCCACTTGGCTCCTACATCACTGGTTTATAAGCAAGCGCAATCTATTACTACCTGTTGACTACCTCAGATGAAAAATACTGAGATGAGGGCATTTGTTGGCAAAGAGATAATGTGTGAACAATGTACACATTTTGGGGTCTTGTCTCATTTAATCTACCAGGAAACACGTTGTGCATCAATAAATGCATTTCTATTCATTCTGCAACTCTCCCATTCCTTAGCTATAAGCCAGCCAGTTTTAGTCTTGATTGCGACTTTCCCATAACTCATACAGAGGTCTATATAGTAATTAAAATGGACAACCAAGTAGAACAGATTTTACATTTATATTTTAGTCATTTAGCAGACACTCTTATCCAGAGCGATTTTTCCCGTCAAGGGCATATGAAAAGATTGTTCACCTAGTCGTCTCTGGGATTCGAACCAGAAACCTTTCAACCAACGCTCTAAACCACTAGGCTACCTGCCATCCACCTAAATAAGTCTTCATTAGCATGCATAAAAATACATAAATCTATGTGAGATTAAGAAGCAGGTGTAGCCAATAGGCCAGGACTCTTCTAGTCAGGTCATTCAAGTAGGGATACAATTTCCACCCGATATAGCCTGTGCCTGCAGCCTGCTGTGGGCACCGATTGATATTAAGACTCCCTCTCAACAGATGACATCCCCTTGACAACCCCTCTAACATGGCTCCCAAAACGACGTGATGATGCAAGACTGACGGGTAAACATTTAGGTCAGAGATTGCTCATCCTCCAATCTTATCCAATGAGGTCGCACCAAGCTCCAATTCGATGAGGTCGTCAAAGCTCGAAATACCCTTGATGCAGAATCAGTGACCATGCGTTCAGGGATGGGAATGTGCCTTTTGAGCACTTTCCTCGATTCTAGAGATCTCTAGAGTTCGGGTGAGGAACATATCTGATTTCTAAGTAGGGGCAGCTGGCTTGTTACAAGGCTTTTATAGAAGGCGAGCAGTGAGCTATTATTGGAAAGTGGTTGGCTATCCATTGGATTTACAATAATAAAACACAGTGGTAACAGTGGTGGTTACCTCCACTCTGACAGTACAAAATCATGTTGGCTATGCCAATAAACATGTCAGTTGTTTAGAAGGTGACATAGAGTACCTGCACAACTTTCTTCTCCTCTATTCTAGTTGACTCTATGTTCTCAAAGTCCCTTTGGCTGTGATTATTGAAAGTATGATTTGTATTTTGCTATAACTGAAAATAGTATAAGATGTGTTGCATTTTTGTAAATCCAAATCTACAATCCATCGGTGTTCATATTTGAGTAAAGAAGTATCAAAACAATGAATGCATATTTTAATTGTGTGGGTGTTGTCATTTTTCTACAGAAAATATGGTGAAGTGGTGACATGGGTGACAAGGTGGGAACAATGTTGTTCCAAGCATAAAGAAGGTATAGAGGAAAAGTAAAGAGTAACAAACAGAATGGGATCTAAAAATGCATGCAGAAGAGACCAACCAAGGAAATGCAAACAGAAGGATAAAATACATTTTAATTGCATCGATGTGAATCTTTCAGAAAGTGCACTATGAAGAAGAAACACACAAAAGAAAATGAAAAAGAAACAACTTAAAGAACCAAAGGAAGCAATTATAACTTAACATTACAGGGTGATTCATCCTAACTCACCTTTTTTCTGTAACTGTGCTTATTTAAATATCCCTTTTAATAATGTTTGTTTTTGGCGTTATGTAAAATCAAAGCAGGTGGACAGAAACATAGAATAAGGATGCAAAACTGAAATCAGAATACAATAATTTGTAGGCCAAAGCTAGAGAGGTAGTGAGTGACTGCCATTCGTGTAGGTGAAAACCTCAAGCCTACTAACCCTCCCAAACCAACAGCTCTCACTACACACAATCATACAATCTGTGACATTGGACAGTTTAAATGTAGAAACCTAACATGACGCAACAGCTGGTAAAAAGTTTAAAATAAAACCTAACCATTCAAGTAGGGTCTTTGGAAGACGCTGAAGGAAATTGTACACGATCTACATCCTACATTCGTCCAAGTACATTCCACCTCTAAGAGATGGGGCCCTAAAAAACATGCACTCACGCACTCACACACGCACACACGCACACACGCACACACGCACACACGCACACACGCACACACGCACACACACACACACACACACACACACACACACACACACACACACACACACACCCTTTAAACCCCCTATGCACCTTTGAGACCCCTCTTTCAAAGTCACTAAGATCTCTTCTAGCCATGGTAGACAAAATAACGGGCAACTGGGCATTTTTATACATGACCTTATGCAAGATGGGATGTTAATTGCTTAATTAACTCAGGAACCACACCTGTGTGGAAGCACCTGCTTTCAATATACTTTGTATCCCTCATTTACTCGTGTTTCCTTTATTTTGGCAGTTACCTATATACTTCCACATATAAAATACAATTCCTTTTTGCGATGCAATTTATGAATATTTTTGGCAAAATGAAGTCGGCAGGTTTCCTATTCATTATAGCATATGAGCATTATATCCACCAAATCTAAATAATTTCACTATACATAGAAAACATACATATCCTCCTGAGACCCAGCAATACATTTTTGTCCTCTCTAATGGACATTAGTTTTTGGTCCGTATCTCTTAGGCCATACATGACACTGTGTTAGGTCCTGTTGTACCGTTGAGAGGACATTCTGGGCTTTTCAATGATAACATGTGTGGGGGTGTCACCTTGATCATTTTTTCTTTCTGGTTCTTTAAAATGCCTACCATCACAATTAGCACATTTCATAGTAAGTGTGTGTAATTGTATAATTATCATTTTTGTGAGTTTGATATTCAAATGGGTTCTAATAGGTACATATCTCAGGAATAGTTTGGTGAGTTTTTAGAGCAGTGTAATCATATGTCACATTAAATAAGAGCTAAATAATAGCTTGTTAAATGTCCTCTGTAGTGGACATCAGGATGCGCTAACTATGTTTTTTTACCTACTGTCCCCACTTACTGTAATGTTACATTTTTCATATTTCTTCATATTTACTATCAACCGAGTCCTAATGGCCACTACATTGCAAATTCTTTGAAATGTTGTTTTTCACCCCAAAAACATAATAATAATTTTAAAAAATAACCTAAAACTGGGTCACAGGAGAATATGTAAAATAAAGCCAGACAGTTCTTAAACCTGTCTCTAAATATATTTAAACTGACCAGTCCTAGTCTCCCTTACCATGTTTTAACCTCTTTAGTCTCTTATCTCTTTGTCATCAAGGTCAATTTTGACAAACAATTATTGCACATCTTAACAGCTAACAAATACACTGTTGATATTGCAGAAGAGCTTCTCAGAATTAGCACTCGCTCACGAACCGCCTTAGTCCTCAGTAGATCCAACATTTTCTTAAATTACCTTTCAATCTTCTCTCATTTCCATTTTTTACTTTCTCAGCAATAAACACTCACCTGTTCACATTCTGTCAATGCCTGCTCACAGGCTCCAATGAATCAACACTGATTCTCATCATAAGTCCATTGAATGCACTTCATTGCTTTCCTGAAAATCTACATTTTATTCTTTTTGGGCTCGGGTAACTAATAAGATATACCAATATCATATACTTCACTTTCAATGTATTTTGCATTGCAATAATGCTAAGAAACAAACTTTGAGAAGCTTTGCTTAGCTGATGGAAAACTACATCCAAACTTTATGATATTTTACATTCTAAAATGTGTCATATTGTGACATCATTTCTAAAAACATATGTTGGCTATAAAATGTTGAGAAAAGGCATCTTAAAAGCCTTCTATGAATATATTGCATTTGTATGAATGTCTATGTTGTAACTAGATCTTATGTTGTTTCAAGCAAATATTAATTAGTCATCCTATCAAAATCACTCTTTCTCTGCAGCTACTGGCTTCCATACCTGGGCTGAACTCTTTTTGGCCATGAACCTGGGCTTTGGAGCGGTGCTGCCCCCAGAGATGGACTCAGGCTTTGCCGCTATGGGAAAGCTGGGGACCACATAGTTACTGGGAGTTAGTGGCTGGTAGGGGGCTTGGGGTACTGCTTGGTAAGGGGGGCTATGGGCTGGCTGATAAGGACCTTGGGGGGTCGGTTGGTAGGAAGGGTTTGGAGCTTGGGGCTGGGGATGGGGCTGGGGTTGATAAGGAGCTGGAGGGGCTTGTTGGTAAGGGGGATAATATGGTTGTTGGTAAGGGCCTGCAGGAGCTTGCTGGTAGGGATTGTTAGGTGGCTGGTAAGCATTAGATGGGACTTGGTGGTAGGGACTATCGTGCATGTGTGGTTGAGGGGGCATCCCATAGGGCTGCTGAGGGGGCTGGGGCAGCTGTGGATAGGGAGCATTCATTGGTCCAGCCGGCTGGACAGGGGAAAGTTGCTCATATCTGATTGGTTGGTTTTGGTTTGGAGGGACTGGGGCAGGGGCTGGGGCAGGCTTTGGTGCAGCGGCCTTGGCAGCCTCGGCAGCCTCCACTGCTGGGCCATACGTAAAGAGGGAGGCATTGAGCTGATACGGCTGATGTTTCATGACATCTATAACAGCAAGGGGTTTGCAGGCAGGTTTGCCTTTCCCTTTCTTGGCTTTGGCTGCAGGGCTAGATGAAGGGGGTTGCTTAATGGCCCCTGGTGGGTAGGACGGGGACTGTATGGGGTTGTAATTTGATGTAGGGGGAGCTCTGCAATTGGGTGAATATTTCCACGAATGAGGTACAGAGGGAGAAGGCGATGTGGGCCTTGCCTTGTTTTCCTGCGCAGTGGCTGCCTGGGCTTGCTGGGCTGCCTGTGCAGTGGCTGCCAACACAGTGTCCGAATCCACAACATACTTCTCCATACGAGACTGCCTCTTGGCGAACAAATCAGCTCCTTTCCCCGTAACAGCTGGCATCGACAAAGCCGAGCCCATGCCTCGCACTGGTACCAAGACGCTGGCCATTGGATTGATGAGGGGTGATGATGACCTTTCTCCAAGCGTGTAAGAATTCATTCGGTGTGGGCGAGGCGGAGGAGTACAACGGGGAGCATTTTGTGGCGCATTCCCAGGTTTCGGAGAAGGTTGACCCACTCTGTCCATCGGGGTCTGAGTATTCACTGGTGCTTGCTGTGGTTGTGGGGCCCAGGTACTTGTGTGTGTCTGAGGCTGTGCCTGAGCCGGGGCCCATGCATTCATTGGTGGCTGTGGGGGTGCCTGCTGTGGAGGTGGCTGTTCCCAGCTTTGCTGGGGTGGGGATTGGGTTGGAGTTGTTTGGGCCCAAGGTGACTGTGGCTGGGCCTGATTCTGATCTGGGGTCCAGGCATTAATGGGTAGCTGTGCTTGCTCTTGAGGTTGCTGGGCCCAGGGAAGCTGGACCTGAGTCTGAGCAGGTGCTTGGGCCCATGCATTCATATGGGGTTGGGGTTGGGGTTGGGCTGGTTGGGCCCAAGGTGGCTGTGGTGGCTGGGCCTGGCTCTGTGGTGGTGTCCATGCATTCATTGGAGGCTGAGGTGATGACACCCAAGGTGGCTGAGGCTGGGCCTGGGTCTGGGCCTGGGGCCAAGCCTGTTGTGGAGGCTGAGGCTGTTGACCCCATGGTGGCTGGGGCTGTTGCTGTACTTGTTCTTGAGGCTGAACCCAAGGTGGCTGGGGCTGTTGCCGAACTTGTTCTTGAGGCTGAGCCCATGGTGGCTGGGGCTGTTGCTGAACTTGTTCTTGAGGTTGAACCCATGGTGGCTGGGCCTGTGCTTGTTCTTGAGGCTGAGTCCATGGTGGCTGGGGCTGTTGCTGAACTTGTTCTTGAGGCTGAGCCCAAGGTGGCTGGGGCTGTTGCTGTGCTTGTTCTTGAGGCTGAACCCATGGTGGCTGGGCCTGTGCTTGTTCTTGAGGCTGAGTCCATGGTGGCTGGAGCTGTTGCTGAACTTGTTCTTGAGGCTGAGCCCAAGGTGGCTGGGGCTGTTGCTGTACTTGTTCTTGAGGCTGAACCCATGGTGGCTGGGCCTGTGCTTGCTCTTGAGGTTGAGCCCATTGGGGTTGTGACTGGGCAGGTGCTGGAGCCCAATAATTCATCGGTGGCTGAGGCTGAGCTTGAGGCTGAGGAGGTGGAGGTGGAGGTTGGGGAGTCACCCAAGGGAGCTGTGATGGGGACTGACTTGGAGCTGGAGCCTGGGGCTTCATTTCAGCAGGTGTCCAAGTACTCACGGGTGGCTGCTGTGGTGGCTGCTGTTGTGCCTGTGTTTGCAGCGGAGCCTTGGAACTCACTTGAGGCTCGGGTTGCGAATGAGGCTGAGGTGGAGAAGGTCCATTTCCTCCCCAGGCTGGTGCTTGCTGGGGCTGCATCTCCACCTGGGACCCTGGGGGACTCCATGTGTGTTTTTCTGGAGAAGGGGTGTTGGCAGGAAATTCCTGGGGTGCAAGAGGGGGGGAGGGTTCTGGGGCAGGTGCAGGGGTTGGCTCCAGTTCTGGAGCAGGGGCGGATTCCGGCTCGGCGGCTGTAGCAGGTGCAGGGACACTATTTTCAGCATGCAGCAGCAACTCCTGGTTGGCCAGCTCAGGCTGAGGGGACCAAGGCGGAGAGTTGGGGTTAATGATGGGCTTTGGAGCGACTGGTGGAGGCGTCTTATGCTTGACCCTTGGTGACTGGAGAAAGTTGCAAGCCTCAGCCCCCAAACTAAGGTAGTCCTCTTCCGTGACTAACTCGAAATCCAACTTCTTGTCACTCCTGTTGAGGAGATTCATAAGCTCTGGGTTGGGTGGCACTTTGGGAGCCTGTTTGAAATTGAACATTGGCTTGCCCTTGAACCTGTTCCTTGTGTCCTGCAAGATCCCAGACTTAATAGCCGGCGTCGAAATGCGCTCGTCGCGCGAGGCAATCTGCTCCCCCTGACCCAGCGCCTCTTGGTTGTTCCCACTCACTGGGGGAGGAAATGGTGCGGGCACCTGGTTTTGTACCGAGAAGGGTTGGGGGGTTCGATTGCTCATGGAACTCTGCATTTCATTGGTTTGGTGGTTGGCCACGCCATTCATGTTAGACGAGTACTGTTGAATTTGCTGCTGCTGTTTGTACTCTTGCTGCTGGTGATACTGCTGCTGTTGTTGATATTGTTGCTGCTGGTATTGCTGCTGCTGGTTGTAATGCTGCGGCTCGTACTGTTGTTGCTGCTGGTATTGCTGCTGCTGCTGGTATTGCTGTTGCTGCTGCTGCTGTTGCTGCTCGTAGTACTGCTGCTCTTGGTACTGCTGATACTGTTGTTGCTGCTTCTGGTGCACGTTCACATCCATGTAGGCCTGGCTCTCTGTGGTGGCCTGCATGTACGAGCGCTCCTCCAACTGCTGGTAGGCCGCATGCTTCTCCACCTCCTGCACTCCCTCCACAGGAATCCCCTGGCGCCTCATCTCCTCATGTTCGGTGGCGATCTCGTCCATGCGCTGGCGGCGCTGGGCAAACATCGTGGCTCCCTTGCCCGTGGTGTTGGGCAGTTGCTCCATCTCCTCTCCGGAATTGAGCTTGCGCTCGATCTCGAGTAGTCCCGTGTCCCAGTCGCAGGTTATCACTCTGCCTCCACCCTGGGCATTAGTAATGAAGTCCTCGTCAAGCTCTGACTCGCTGGTGGTGGCTACGAGGGTGAATTCGATCGCCCTGGTGTTTCTTTCGTCGTAGTCTTCCTCCTCCTCGCTGTCGTCGTCCTCGTACTCTGGTTCGCTCTCACCGGTGCCGTAGCTGACGAGTGTATACTTCTTAGCCCTCTGTCGATGCCTCTTGAACATCAACACCCCCTTGTTGTTGGGGTTGGGAGTGTCAGCGTTCAGAAGAATAGCAATACGCTTACATTTAGATTTGGCCTCCTTCACCTGCTTGTCTGACAGGCTCTCACTGCGCCTGAGCCCTGCGAAATAGAGAGAGGGAGGTGGAGGGAGGGAGGGAGGGAGAGAGAGAGGTGGAGGGAGGGAGAGAGAGAGAGAGAGAGAGAGAGAGAGAGAGAGAGAGAGATATATTTCAAATGGTTGCTTCTTGTGGCCTATTTAATTTAACTGCATATAATGTGTATTTATAGCTTGGGTAGAATTGAGACCACCACAAATCATTCCATTTGGATGAACATGCATCGGAAAATGTTTGCCACACCAAGTTACACTGTTTTCAGATACCAGTAGGCCACCACATTTTCTAATGTTTTATGATAATCTTGAATACATCTTAACACTGCATGTCCACCCTAATGACATTGTGAAAACATATCTTAATACATTAAAGCAACCACTCACTAATTACTTTCACTGATATTTCACTTTATATAAACAATCACTCTTTAAATGGCATACATGAAAAATTGCAGAATTTCTGAAACTGCAAACTCAAATCAGACCATGCTATTAGCTAGTTCATTAAAAGCAGCGTTAAATATCATAGCAGACCATTTGATTCACCCCATTATATTGAAAACCTGAATATGTTTTTAAAGCAAAAACAAATTGTTAAAAATACCCCTCAAATGACATAAATGCAAGCAATAACCTACACATTTCCATAAACATACATAAGAGCTAAATCTAATCCATTCATTCACTCATTCATTCAATATTTTCCTGGTCCTGATCTTATACTTGGCTTTCTATAGCCCAACAAAAAGTAATTTAAAGCCAAATACCTCAGTGCCAATACTTATCACAGATTTGATCATTCAATCTACACAATCTCTATTCAATCAACACAAAAAGCAATTACCTAATTCTATGACCAATTGTCTAATATCCTCCTCGTTTGTGCCCCGATAATACACGATAGTAACACAGCTGTGACAGCCTGTTCAACGGGTGGTCCCCATAGTTTCAGCCAATGGCAGAGCATAGAAGAGATAAAATGGATTAAAAATAGTCTGTGGGACGGAAGTGCATTCACCAGCACCCAAGCACCTTTCCCAGTCCTTATCTGTATGTCCACTCTCGGATCTGTCACCTAAACCCGAGCCGACGACAGTCATGTCCACCCACTCTTTAACAGCACCAACCCTACACACACATACACAAAGCGGTGATTTATAAAAGAACCCATCTTTACATTTTTATTTCCCTCAGTATGACTAACCTCAAGGTGGAGGAAGACGGTGCGTAGTGAGTGACACTCGCTTTATGGCGCGGGCTAAGACATACGGTGTAAAAAGGATCGGGTAACAGGCTAGTGCAGCACATGCTGGTGTCCGTCAAAGAGCACTTCTGCAGGCATCATCAACGCGCTGACATTTTATTTATGTCCCCCTGCACGGCTCAATGAAATGCCATATTTATCGCCCTGAAAGACACATCCTCATCAAGCCCCTATTCTAAGCTAAAGGAAAACATTTGATAGGACTTTTTTTAAATATATTTTTTAAAAACGGAGAATTCTCTCTCTCTCCCCCCTATTATATTGCCACAATCCTGCCTTCAGTGATCTTGGATACTACAAACTTGAAATTCAGGCTTGAACTGGACCTCTCTGCTTCAATCCAAACAAAACCCCTCCCAAGTAAGAGAGAGCATCTACTATTTTTGGGGCCACATTTTTGTGTGCAACAGGGCACCGGGCTAAGGAATGCACACATGCCTCCCAGAGTTGAGTTGACAAATGCAGTTCACAGCAGTGCTACTGTATGTCAGTCTGCTAATAGTTCGGAGTCGGTGCACCCTATAAGACAACACTAAAAACACACACACAAAGCAGGACTAGTAACAGCGGAAACAGGCATAGAGTACTCACTGGCGTGCCTGGCCCGGTGCTTGTTGGGTTTCCCAAGGTCCTTCTCAGAATCCGAGTCTGGCTCCTCTGCCGGCTCCGCCCCCTCTTCGGGAATTCCAAAGGAGACGGTGAAGGAGGTGGGAGCTCCCTGGCTTTGCCCTGCTCCTTCCTTTCTTGGGGCTCCACCAACACTTCCACTGGCCCCACAGGCACCCACCACCTCTACCAGACGTGGAGAGCCCCTCCCGACAGCGGGGTGCTGCAGGGTGATCTCCACCACTCCATGCTGACTCAGGGGCTCCCTAGCTGGGCCACAGACGTAGAGCGAGTGGGTGGTGGTGTGGAGGAGGGCCTTGTTCTGGAGGGCTTCTCTCGCCTGGATCTCCCCCTCTATTCCAAGAGCACTCCCCAGGGAGGTGCAGACGGGATCCTCCAGGGTGTGTTCAGCGAGGGACAACTGGAGCTCCACCATTGCCCCCGGGGAGAAACTCCCTCCCTGGGGTCCCGCTCGACCTCTGTCCCCTCCCCCTCCGAGTAACTGTGACTCTGGGCCGCTGCACTCCCCAGACGCGGGCACGCAGAGCTGGGTGCGGACCAGGTGGGTCCCTCTGGGGGCCTCTGTGTCACTCTCCATCTCCCCATAGTAAGCCTCATCCTGGGACTCGGCGATGTAGAGCTCCCTGGGTGATTGGGACCTGCCAAGGGAAAGGATGCGGAGGTTGGTGCTTTCCAAAGCCTCACCAGAGGACTCCCTTGTGCCAAAGTAGGTCTCCTCTGAATTAAATTCCTGGGGGGTTAGTGCGCAGCATCTGTATGAGCAGAGGGGGGAATGGAGATTGGGGAGCATAACACATCATACAATAGTTCAATGAAAATCATTTTGAAGTTGCAAGTGTTGAGACTGTGCATAATAAGAGTGTGGTTTGGTATGGTCATTTGGTTTGAAATTGGATAGATAGATAGATAGATAGATAGATAGATAGATAGATAGATAGATAGATAGATAGATAGATAGATAGATAGATAGATAGATAGATAGATAGATAGATAGATAGATAGATAGATAGATAGATAATCTCTGTTTCCTTTTTCCTTGAAGACACAGGCAAAAGGTTATCTGGTGATCTTTTGATCTCATGATTTGATTGCCTGGATTTCCAATATGAAATATCGTTGAATATTGTGCTGTGCACCAGAGCACTTGCCGTTTGTGTTAACTAAAGCCATCTCATCAACCAATGGCCCCTCAAGTGGTCACCATAATCAAGCAAACTCAATCTCCGTCCCTCATGTTAAATGACTGGAGTGAAGCACTGAAGTGGAAAGTAATCACAAACCCACTTCCTTTCCCCTTTCAGCGTCATAGAGGAATGCAGTATGTCGTTGTGTCACTACAATTATTGCATTGGAGTCAATTAGAACCTAGCAACCAAAAGGGAAGGGGATGAGATATGTGACCAAACATATTTCATTAAGTGGTAATGCCCTCGAAGCCAGTGTTTGAAGGATATATTGGCACAGGTGTTGTTAGGCCTGAGACGTAGTCGAAGTCCCGACACAAATCTACGGTTGCTACCCATATGCCACACCTCCTCGGGCCTTATTGCTTAATTAATTTATATTGGGCACAATATAATCTGAAACACAACCAAAGCAAACAGCAAATGCATCCAACAAGTTTGTACAGTCACAAGCTTAATGTAGTCATTGCATGCTCGTAATATGGGACCAAATACTTCACTTTTTACTACTTTGATACACAAGTGAATTTGTCCCAATACTTTTGGCCCCTAAAATGGGGGGACTATGTACAAAAAGTGCTGTAGTTTCTAAACGGTTCACCCGATATGGATGGAAATACTCTCAAATTAAAGATAGTCTGCACTTTAACCTCATAGTCATTGTATAATTTCAAATCCAGTGCTGGAGTACAAAGCCAAAAATGGTCACTGTCCCAATACTTTTGGAGCTCACTGTAAGTGTTCCCTTAAATATGGGCATCGGCACCAATATCCGTTGGCACACGAGACGTGCACGGTGTGTGAGGCCCGCTGAGTAACTGTTTAAAAGCTGCTTGTTGAGCGGGCACACAAATCTGCAACAGCTGGTTCGTCAGCAGCCAAGACACTCAAAGGTCAACACACTTGCCTATGAACTACTATCTGTCCGTCCGGCCACCATATTCCAGGCCACTCAACCGTGTACATGCAAATAATACACTAGTGCTTGTTGTGTTGTATTGAACCATGCCTTGTAGTACATGACCCAGTTGATCACACCAATGCGGCAGTAAGTTTTGAGAGCATTGACATAAACCTTGATAAACCTGTAGCACCCTGAGGTTGTAATGTTAACGTGGCAGTAATTTTTCCAAAAAGAAAACTAAGCAAAAGGCATTTTTGGGGGTATAATTCTGGTTTGAGAAGCAATGGTGTAGTTAATAATGAAAAATCCAGCCTTTGTGGTTACCTTTTGACCAGTAATTGCAGGCAGTCGACACAGGCGTCAATGAGAGCAATAGCTTCTGAGAGGGAAAGGTCGCCGCTGGGTTCTCCATTCAGCGACACCACCTCATCCCCCTCGCAGACCCCGGCCAGGGACGCATGACCCCCCTCTTCCACCTACGGGATGACAAACAGTGGTGAGTCCCCATGACATGCCTCAAAATAAAAATAAAAATCACCTACACCTATAACTCAGGTTAGTGTATTTACTGTATATCACCGAGGTGGTTTTGGTCAACCACGGTTGCGTGATGAGTAACATTGCCTGAGATCTAAAGGCTTGTGTTAGCTCGCCGAGTTAATGCCTAGGACTTTGACTATGAGGGCAGTCATTCAAACAGTTTGAGTATGTTTAACCAAGTGGATATCGGGTCCCTGGTCATTGGCAAGACTTAGGATGATGTTAGTGACGCGTTAAGCCTAGGCATTAGCTCTGGGAGCCAACTTGAGATTTTGTGTCACTGGCCTACACACAATACACACCCCATAATGTTTTTAGAAATGTTTGCAAATTCATTAAAAATGAAAAGCTGAAATGTCTTGGGTCAATAAGTATTCAACCCCTTTGTTATGGCAAGCCTAAATACGTTCAGGAGTTTTTGAATGACTGCATCATCTCTGTACCACACACATACAATTATCTTTAAGGTCCTTCAGTTGAGCTGTGAATTTTAAACACAGATTCAACCACAAAGAAGGGCACATATTGGTAGTAAAAATGGAAAAAGCAGACATTGAATATCTCTTTGAGCATGGTGAAGTTATTGATTACACTTTTGGATGGTGTATCAATACACCCAGTCACTACAAAGATACAGGCGTCCTTCCTAACTCAGTTGCCGGAAAGGAAGCAAACCGCTCAGGGATTTCACCATTAGGCCAATGGTGACTTTAAAACAGTTACAGAGTTTAATGGCTGTGATAGGAGAAAACCGAGGATGGATCAACAACATTGTAGTTACTCCACAATACTAACCTAATTGACAGAGTCAAAAGAAGGAAGCCTGTACAGAACATGCATCCTGTTTGCAACAAGGCACTAAAGTAATACTGCAAAAAATGTGGCAAAGCAATTTACTTTTTGTCCTGAATACGAAGTGTTATGTTTTGGGCAAATCCAATACATTACTGAGTACCACTCTCCATATTTTCAAGCATAGTGGTGGCTGCATCATGTTAAGGGTATCCTTGTAATCATTAAGGACTGGGGAGTTTTTCAGGATAAAAAATAAACTTAATAGATCTAAGCACAGGCAAAATCCTAGAGGGAAACCGGGTTCAGTCTGCTTTCCACCAGACACTGGGAGATGAATTCACCTTTCAGCAGGACAACCTAAAACACAAGGCCAAATCTACGCTGGCGTTGCTTACCAAGAAGACAGTGAATGTTCCTGAGTGGCCGAGTTACAGTTTTGGCTTAAATCTGCTTGACAATCTATGGCAAGACTTGATCAACAACCAATTTCACAGAGCTTGAAGAATGTTTAAAAGAATAATGGGCAAATGTTGCACAATCCATGTGTGGAAAGCTCTTAGAGACTTACCCAGAAAGAATCACAGTTGTATTTGCTGCCAAATGTGTTTCTACAAAGTATTGACTCAGGGGTGTGAATACTTAAGTAAATTAGATATTTCTATATTTCATTTTCAATACATTTGCAAAAATGTTCACTTTGTCATTATAGGTTATTGTGTGTAGATAGATGGGTGAGAGAAAAAAATTATATTTATCAATTTTTAACTCAGGCTGTAAAACCACAAAATGTGGAATAAGTCAAGGGGTGTGAATACTTTATGAAGGCACTGTATTGTTATATATGTTTGTCATATTTCTGCTGTTGGGAAGAGAATAGGATGTTATGCAGAACAATATGTTGGAAGGACAAGGCTATGTATGTTTGTTCACATGGAAGTCAGTGATGTATGTTTACTATAGGTTAATGAGGCAATACGAATGTGATGTGACTCAAATGAAAGGCCATTTAGTTGACTAAAACGGCCAACTGTTTTTGTAATTTTGACAATAACTAGACTGAATCATTATTCAAATGACAAAATGTGACCAAAACTAAATTATATTTTAGTCAAACTGTCTAAGACTATACTAAATCTAAAAAAAGAGTGCCAAAATTAACACTGGCCTTAAGTCAAATGTCTTTATTGATACGAGTCCTAATGGAACCTCTATTAAGATATCATTGACTTAGATGACAGCACAACAATACAACTCCACACCACACATTTTCGGTGCAACTGCTGACAGAAAAGTTGGCATAAGAAATCACCACTATATTCACGTTAACCCAGTGCATATGCCAATGCTAGTGTGACCAGCCAGTGTCAGACAAACCCGATGTCACGATCGTCTAGAACAGATGAGGACCAAGGCACAGCGTTGCAGGCAAACATACTCTTTATTAGAGACACGATCAAAAACACCAAAACGAAAACGTGACAGTTCACGGTCTAACACAACAGACTAGAAACAAGATCCCACAAACTCTGTGGGGAAACAGGCTGCTAAAGTATGGTTCTCAATCAGAGACAACAAGCAACAGCTGAATCACGTTGCCTCTGATTGAGAACCACACTGGCCAACATAGAACACCAATACTAGAAAGTGAAACCTAGAACAAAACACATAGACTTTACACACCCTGGCTCAACATATTAGAGTCCCCAGAGCCAGGGCGTGACAGTACCCCCCCCTAAAGGCGCGGACTCCGACCGCGCCCACCAAATACCACAGGGGAGGGACCGGGTGGGCACTCCGCTTAGGCGGCGGATCCGGCTCCGGGCCGGATCCCCGCTCCCTCTCCAACCCCCCAAAGTACCCCTGGTCCGGTCTGGCCCCGCTGGCCGGAGCTGGACTGCACACTGGTGGAGCGGATTGCTCTAGCTCCGGCGTGAAGCATCTGACCGGTGCCGGACCAGCCACCGGTGGAACAGGCACGGGCCGTGCCGGACTGACGACGCACACCACTGGCTTGGTGTGGGGAGCAGGAGCGGGCTGAGCCGGGCTGACGAAACGCACCACTGACTTGGTGCGGGGAGCAGGAGCGGGCCGGACCGGGCTGACGAAGCGCACCACTGACTTGGTGCGGGGAGCAGGAACGGGCCGTGCCGGGCTGACGAAGCGCACCACTGACTTGGTGCGGGGAGCAGGAACGGGCCGAGCTGGGCTGACGAAACGCACCACTGACTTGGTGCGGGGAGCAGGAATGGGCCGGACCGGGCTGACGACGCGCACCACTGACTTGGTGCGGGGAGCAGGAACGGGCCGGACAGGGCTGACGAAACGCACCACTGACTTGGTGCGGGGAGCAGGAACGGGCCGAGCTGGGCTGACGAAACGCACCACTGACTTGGTGCGGGGAGCAGGAATGGGCCGGACCGGGCTGACGACGCGCACCACTGACTTGGTGCGGGGAGCAGGAACGGGCCGGACAGGGCTGACGAAACGCACCACTGACTTGGTGCGGGGAGCAGGAATGGGCCGGACTGGGCTGGCGACGTGCACCACAGACTTGGTGCGGGGAGCAGGAACAGGCCGGGCCGAGCTGGCGACGCGCACCGTAGACTTGGTGCGAGTGGCAGGAACAGGCCGGACCATACTGGGAACACACACCACTGGCCCTACGTGGGGATCAGGAACAGGCCGGACCGGACTGGCAACACACGCCAGTACCTCTCGCCGTGCCTCTACATCCTCCTTCCCCCTGGTGACCAGTGACTCCCGTAACCTGGCGGCCTCCTGCTGCCCCGTCGTCCACGGCGTTAGCCCCCCCCTAAAAAATGTATGGGCTTCACTCCTACCCGTGGACCAGGTCTCCATGCTTCTCGCCAGCCTTTCGCCCTTCTGCCTCCACGTCAAGCCCCTCTCTTCCTCACATGGCTTGACCCAGTCGAGGAGGCGAAGGAGATCCGCTAGAGATCTCTCAGGCGCTGGCTCCTGGACTTGCTGCTTGGTCCAGTCTTGGTGGGATCTTCTGTCACGATCGTCTAGAACAGATGAGGACCAAGGCGCAGCGTTGCAGGCAAACATACTCTTTATTAGAGACACGATCAAAAACACCAAAACGAAAACGTGACAGTTCACGGTCTAACACAACAGACTAGAAACAAGATCCCACAAACTCTGTGGGGAAACAGGCTGCTAAAGTATGGTTCTCAATCAGAGACAACAAGCAACAGCTGAATCACGTTGCCTCTGATTGAGAACCACACTGGCCAACATAGAACACCAATACTAGAAAGTGAAACCTAGAACAAAACACATAGACTTTACACACCCTGGCTCAACATATTAGAGTCCCCAGAGCCAGGGCGTGACACCCGACAGGTCATTTCTCCACCGTCAGAGTTCTGTGACATCAGAGTGTACAGTGTCCACCAGTAAACATACCACAACAGGTGCTCGTCGTGTGACACAACAATGCAAATTGCTGCTTCGGTCAGACCCGTAACCCAGACGTTAAGAATAGCCAAGGAGCAGGGGGGTGTTCAGGTGCAGGAGTTACCACTGACCTTCTCTGCCACTTTAGATATGGCAGTGGTACTGTATCTACTGCAAGAACACAAGTCAGCTCCGTAATGCGGTCAGCTCCTAACCACGTCAACTCCATAACTCAATCAATATTAGATGCATGGACATACCTAAAGTAATAGGGACAACATAAGGACTCAGCTGACATTGATACTTATTTTATTTAATATAACTGTGTCACTTATAATATTAGGTTACTGTACTAATTGAAATTACACTCACCTCTAGAAATATATGAGAAATACAATGTGTTGGATACAATTAGAACATGTACTGTAGATTAATAGAACATACTACTGCAATAACTCTTCACATTATAAAGCTACAGTAAATGAACTATAAATAGACTGCAGCTAGTTATGGAGCGATACAATTACCACTGTGCTGTGATAAAACAATATAGAATAAAAGACACGCAAAGACTATGTATGTGGTTATTAGTGAAATGAGTAGGATTTGGAAGTTATTCTTTAAAAGGTGCAATCTGTGATTGCTACATCAATTTTTAGACTTTTAAATTAATGATATGCGTATATCCATGAATTCTTGAAGAATATACCTTATAAATGCCTCATGAGCTTAGTTTAACTGTCGTACCCCATTAGAACCCAAAGTATAAGCTTGTTTTACTAAATTGTTTGTAAAGAATGTAATTATAAACAAACACTGTAAAGATTTAAAACATGGTTAAAACTATAATTTTGCATCCATAGCTGTATCTATGAGAGTGGTTACATTTCTCCAGTCGCATTCCTCAGCAGTTAATCGAAAGAGTGGCGGGGTGAAGCCTTTGTTATTCTTTGAACTACAGATTGCCCCTTTAAACAATATCCAGCACTGGTGGTTTGTATGAATAACTATGCACACCTTTTGGCCTCCATTCCCCTTGAGAACCCTTTTGGGGAGTGGAGGCCAAAAGGTGTGCATAGTTGTTCATACAAACCGTTTATATGCCAGCAAATCATGCAAATGCAAGCATCACTTTGCATCCGTTTGGTAGTAAATCTGCTTTGTTCTCTATTAAACTCTCCATGAAATCTGATACCACTGTGTCAGTAAATTGTATATTGCACAAATGACCAAAAGAAGTGGTTTGAAGCAAAATGACTTAAAGATACTTGAAAATATATACATTCAAATGGATGATAAAGATCTGTAGTCAACTTTCAACAAAAGAGTAATTGAAACATTGCTTATCATTGAAGCAAGTAACAACCTTTTATGGCATCTATATCCAACAAATTAAATCAGTCAATTGAAATAAATGAATTAGGCCCTAATCTATGGATTTCACATGACTGGGATACAGATATGTATCTGTTGGTCACAGACACCTTTAAAAAAAAATGGGCCTCACTATGGGCCTCAGGTTCTCGTCACGGTATTTTTGTGCATTGAAATTGCTATCAATAAAATGCAGTTGTGTTCGTTGTCCATAGCTTATGCCTGCCCATGCCATAACCCCACCGCCACCATGGCGGCACTCTTTTCACAATGTTGACATCTGCAAACCGCTCGCCCACACGACGCCATACATGCGGTCTGCGGTTGTGAGGCCGGTTGGACGTACTGACAAATTCTCTCAAATGAAATGAATATTGAATTCTCTGGCAACAGCTCTGGTGGACATTCCTGCAGTCAGCATGCCAATTGCACGCTCCCTCAAAACTTAAGACATCTGTCGCATTGTGTTGTGTGACAAAACTGCACATTTTCGAGTCCCCAGCACAAGGGGCACCTGTGTAATGATCATGCTATTTAATCAGCTTCTTGATATGCCACACCTGTCAGGTAGGTGGATTATCTTGGCAAAGGACATATGCTCACCAACAGGGATGTAAACAAATGTGTGCACAAAATGTGCGATAAATAAGCTTTTTGTGTATATGGAAAACTTCTGGGATCTTTTATTTCAGCTCATGAAACAAGGGAACAACACTTTATATGTTGCGTTTATATTTTTATTCAGTGTAGATTCAAAAAATTTTTTTATAGATTTTCAAATATCATGTAGCCATTGCAAACTGCACGTGTCTTTGTATGAAATCACTGACAGTTGTCTTGTGAACAGCTCTGAGTTCTGACAGTTCTCAGTTCTCTCTGACTGCCATAGGTCATATCTTCAATGCCCCCTAGCTGCCGTGATAGTAATCCATTCTGAGAGGTCCATTTGTATCGTAACACCATTTTCCAAAAAAAACTCTTCCATTTGCTATATTTATAGCCTCGTTACCCAGAGTGACCTCTGGCGACTGCTTTCCACAAAAATCATGTTCAGCTCTCCTTCTAAGCATAATATTTAGGCATTTATATACAGGCAATTACCAGGGACGATCCCCAAGGACTCTCTGACTATTTAAACAACATGGCCCACAGCTGTTTGAGGCTAACTGTAAATAACTCTTTCCCATGCCTCGTAGGATTCTCCCAACAGTCAGTCCAATGAACAATAAAAGGACAAATGAAAGTGTGACATTGGATTCAGTGAATTGAGTGTGATGTTAAATGCTTAGGGGACAATACTGCTGAAGGTTCAACCTTTGTCAGTTTTGCTTTGTTGCTCTGTCCCCAACTGCCCGAAAATGACACTCTCTTCACTTATTGCTCTCAGATCACATTTTATTTTGTGTACAATCATTGTGTACATATTGTCTGACACACAGCAGTATTATTACTAGGTTTTTACTTGTTATTTGTCATGGGTTGTTAACCACTGACTCATCTCTTGTGGACAGCTTCGCAAGAGTTTTACTTCTGGGTATCCAAGATTAACCACAGACAACAAACACACCAGTCAATCCTGTTTTAGTTCATTGTTCAACTTTGGGTGGGTCACAACTTCTCATCAGTTACTAAGAGTTGAATAACAAAGTTGATGACAATGGAATTTTTAAAAATGTTTTTCTAGGGACACAAATTCGGACAAAAACATGTATTTCCCATATAGGAGTTCTGCACATAGGCTTACTGGACATAGCCTTGTCTAGTCAGTCATAACCTCGTCCCCAGGCTATTGCACATTTGGGCAGAAAGTGTCTGGGAATGATATTAAGTCAGTCACAACACTGATGTTTGTTCCTCTACTCTGGCACTAGAGGGCAGTGTACAGCCAATGTTGGGGAGCACAGGTCATAAACTGCATGAACTTCGATTTTTCTCCCAACAGTGACTAAGCTGGGAAACAACCTAATTGTACTAACGTCCACAGTTCTGGACCCGTATTCATAAAGTGTCTCAGAGTAAGAGCACTGATCTAGAATCAGTTTAGCCTTTTAGATAATAATGAATAAGATGACATGGAGTGGAGGGGACGTGATACTGGATCAGCACTCCTACTTTGAGACACTTTATGAATACTGGCCCAGTTTTATTCCATGAAATTGTCTTTCTCTTACAGTGAAAATTCACAAATGCTTTCACAAATATAGTATGAACTGAATGAAAATATACGTTTTTACATTGGCCCATAAGATTATTTCACACCATCTTGTCTCTACTCCCTTAAGTACAGTATTCAGGCCTTCATAAACAAACATAAAATTGGCCATTGATTAAAGGTCCAATGCAGCTGTTTTTATCTCAATATCAAATCATTTCTGGGTAACAATTAAATGCCTTACTGTGATTGTTTTCAATGAAAATGCTCAATTATTTATTTATTTTTTACAAAAAAGCTTCTTAGAAAATAGCAATTTCCCAAGCAAGAATTTTCCTAGGACTGTCTGGGAGCGGTCTGAGTGGGGAGGGGAAAACTAGCTGTTATTGGCAGAGAGGTTTGGAACTCTTTCTTATTGGTCTATTAACAAATTTACTACCTGGTGATGTCACCAGGCAGACCAAAAATCCATCCCACCAAAACAGGCTGAAATTTCAGGGGGTCTTTTCAAACAGCTCTTACACTAAAAGGGCATAATCATTATGTTCATAATTTCACAGAATTATTCCAACCTTAGTGTGGAAATATATTTAAAACACAGGAAAATCATGTTTTTGACTGCACTGGGCCTTTAAACCCCCACCCCAGTAGAAATCCCATTTTTTGGATGGCCAGAGTTTACCCATGATGTTGCACAACGATGTAAGTCAATAAGTCAACGTTTAAGTCAAAGTATGATATATTTGGGCTTGAAGTGACAAATCCGAATGTGTGACTTTGTATGTTTCTGTGAGTCTTACGTGCCTTTTCCTATGAGATGGCGTGCAAATTCTTTTCAGGCTACGTTTCGTTTCAGGGCTGGGTTTTATTTAAATGTTACCACCCACCAGCATGGCAATGTTTAATAATCAGAAACACCTGCTGCAAAATTATTCCTATTCGCGAGTCGTCTGTCATCCAACAGCTTTTCTCTGTAGCCTACACGTGGGTTTCCACTAGATAAAACAGCCACAAAGTCAAAAATGTGCTATATCATACAAATTCATGAAATCAAAAATTAGATTTTTTGTCTTAATTTAAGGTTAGGGTTAAGGTGGGAGATAGGTTTTAAGAAGAACCATTTTTGAAATAGACGGAGGTTATGACGTTGTAGCTGCGTTAAATAGTGACGACCCTATCCTTGTCTGCCTTGCCATGGAGCAAATTCAAATAGGGGGTGCAAACGTTTCTGCACCACCCCTTTTTACCAGCTAATTAACATAAGCCATTGGATAATTGGTCAAGTTTCACTTATTTTTGAGCTAGTCTGTATTAAAAAATATGACAATTTAATATAGCTCCCCCCGTCGCCTCAAGATGAATGGTTTTGACCGCTAACGTTTTAGGCAAATTCGTTTAACATGGCCTGGTGCCCCGGGTGTGCAGGGTTTGCTCATTTTCGAACATTCCATTGATCCTAAAGATAATCTCTACACACCCGGGGCACCGGGCCATGCAAAATGAACCCGCCCATTGCTTTAATACACGTTGCAAACCGTTAAATAGTTAAGACTATCCATATTACCGGAGTTTATATTATTACTATTTATATAGTGGATTTGCGGCCACAATTTATACTGAACAAAAATATAAACACAACATGTAACAATGTCAACGATTTTACTGAGTTACAGTTCATATAAGGAAATCAGTCAATTGAAATA